TGTAATAATTTGGTAAAGTGAAGAAGGTTCTTGCAGGCACAAGTCTAGTTTTTGACCTAGCTGACTGGGATGTTTATATGCCTGCCCAGCGCTCCCCTTCATAATCAGACCCATTATAGATGTGATACACAGCTTCCAAGACCTTGTCTTGTCTTGATGAACGATAATGTGTTTCCAGCCTTGCCGTGACTTATCGACTTATTACCCCAAGCCGTTGTCAAGAATTACCTGCACAGGAGAACCTCCTTCGAATGACACCCTCACTAACATTGCTTTTAATTGATCTGATAGATGAGTATACCCCAAAATATACACTGGACACCGGTTAGTCGGTAAGCCAACGGCAATTGTAGGTCCAACTTACCATAACTACTCCGATGGTGACAATGATGCAATTGAAGCCTATCAGAATTGTCTGCTTCCAGTTTAGAGGCTTCCCATGTACATTGAGGTAAAGCCAAAACACGCCTGGAAGATTGAAAATAAACCAGCTGGCAAAGAATGAGCTCTGCAGGACAGGTGTCATCCGTTTCCGCGCCCAACGGGGTACCTCTCCCCTCCTTATTACCCCATATGTCCCGTGAACTTACTGCAAGGCCCAAGATATCGTTGAATACCGGTGTGCTTTCCGAAACTACCCAGGCCAAAAACCATAGAGTCACGCATACAGCGGCCCATAGAGATATTGCACCAAGGGGACGTGAGTGCATGGCATTCCTGCTATGAAACATCCGCAAGTAGATTGATTCACCGCGACATGGGCGTTGACGGCACCTGCTATCACAATCTGACTTATGCGATCAGCTGGACGACGGAGGAGCACGCCTTTGGATGGGCCACCTACTGTCGGGATTGCGATACCATATGATATCTTCTTGAAGAGCGGACTGACTGAATTGAGGGACGGGGAGGCAACATCATTTCCAACCAGCACATGTATTACGATAGCCGTCACCATGTAGAGCGTCACCTCACTCATTTGCAATAAAGCTAATGCCCTCGGGTAGTCCCTCACGCCCCGGAGCTCTGAAAAGAACGCAAAGAAGGCGACATGTCCAGCATACGCAAATACAATATTTGCAATGGAAATTATTGATCGTGAAACGTAGGCGGTGATGATGTTTGAGTATGGCTTGTTTTATTGAGAGATGCCCCAACCATGCTAGCGAAGACTGCTCCGAGGACACTAGCAAAGCTAACCGAGGAGAGAAATGACAGGCTTTCGAGACGTCGCGGGATGGTGAAGACGTTCGAAGGCAATCCTCCAGCCACGGAAAACAGAACTGTACAGCCCGAGTAGCCGGTAAGAACGCTCATCATGACGGAAATGGTCAGTATATGGCTACCCATTATGAATACGAAGAAGATAAGCTGAGCAGCACCTAGGATTTCACAGCCAATCCTTCCCCACAATATGGTTCCGGCATCAGCCATGCTATGTGCCTGAGGATAGCGACATTTGAAGTCTCCAATGACTAGTCCTGTGTAGGTAGTCAGCACCCCGACACCTATGATAACGGCAATACCACTGCGCCAAGTTAGCTTGTGCAGGAGTCATAGCCATTTTCTAGGCTAAGGAAATCGTACGGGAGAAGGCCCAATGTAGCTAGCACTTTGGGGAAAGCCAGGATTCGCAGAGATATGGTCTCTGCTATCATGACTGGTATCGTTAGGACTTCAAATGTAACAGGCATGATTCAAACCGAGATTGACTCACTCATTCCAGCCTGCCTGAAATCTAATAAGCACCACTGGCTAGCAGTTCTCAGAGATCTATAGCGCACTCACCACCAAGTCAGTGTTTTATACTTCACCTTCAGCCCGGTTTCATCTCCGAAAGATACTCTCCCTCGCAATTGGTTTGTGGCTGGGACACTGTGGCAGCACGGTCACTCTGCCTTGGGGGATTCCATGCTATTCTCACAAGGCCATGAGGTCGCAAACTCGATACGCCACTGCGTGCCATGCCATGATTCGGTGAGCGTGCAGTATAAGACGTCATGCAAAGAGCCTGGTTCAAACACAAGTGTGTATGTAGTATGCAACAACTTAGCGAAAACAATGTTAAATAACCGTGTAATTCGTCGCGGGGAGTCATGACTATAAGCTAGACAGTGGTTGAGGACAAGACAGGACATGAGCAGGAAATCACTATTGCCATTTAGGGTAGAGAGGCTCACTTCTTGAGGAAAGCGGGTAGAGAAAGCCCTGTCGGGCAGGCGTTCTTTCCACGGCTGGTACCCTAAGTATCATGAACTTGCCTGATCTGTTTCCTTCTCGGTTGGTAGATGCCAACTACCATATGCATTGAGTGCTCAAGGCTTGACGATTACCCAGCTGAAGCTTCAGGTCTAGCTGGTATATCCCTCCCCTTTGTGATGTTTCATATCTCTGATAAGTCATCCCATTTACTCGAAGGCAGGCTGAGCACATACACGATTATATTACCCGCCAGCGCCCTTTGTAAACATAGAGCCGAAAAATATTATTGCTTTGGCTGAGAAAGTGAATGAGACTAGTCTTCAATCAGGCCCATCATACATTATGGAATCAAAGTTTTACATCAAAACTATTTATACATAAGGCAATACTCTATAGCTCATGACACTTCTATTTGTTTGCCGGGGACTCGGGATGTATCAGCTTGTTAGAATCGGACGAGGGGATGTCACTATTGAGCACATCCGCTGGGGGATCTGAAAGTTCATTAGTCAGGTCTGTCATGAATGACTATTCTAGTGCGGGTCTACTCACCGGACCGAGCAAAGGCCTTTCTTTGTGCGATATCCAGATCCTTTACTCTACCCGCCTCGACATCATCCCGCGTCATGCTCAGGAAAGCCTTTGGTAGACCCATTGAAGAAAGAAACTGGACGCTCTCCTTCCATTCAGAATCTTTCCGGTTCTTATCCCACTTCAGCTCCTCACCCATGAGATCGATAATGTTAGGAAGGGCTTCGAGTGCTGCTTCGGCGTTCAAAAATGCCAACCGTGTTCTGCGAGCAATGACATCGGTGGCAGTCTGTGCATACTCGTGGCGCACAGCATACCTGATTTCACCATCAACGAAGGGGTATAGTCTGGAGATGCGTTGGCCGCGGACAGGGAAGCGAGCATTTGTGGGGGAAGACAAAGCCGCAACCTGCCAGGCTCGGTCACCGTACGACTCCGTTAGATGCTTAGCCACATCAACCTCGAGTCCGAAGTGCTGGATGAGGTTGATGAAAAGGGTTTTGGAGAAGCCATGGGCACCAATCAAGCGAACCTGGTGGGTTTGGCAAGATCCGTCGAGAACAGCACCGTCGGAGACCAAGCCACTGCCGCCGACACCACTGATATCCGGAGCGCCGGTGACTCCGCGAGGCTTCAAGCCGAACACGCCAATGGCTTCGTCCACCGCCTCTTCAGCCATCTGCCGGTAGGTAGTCCACTTGCCACCAGCACAGGTCAAGAGTCCGGACGGTGAGACAGTAATGAGATGGTTGCGGACCAGAGCCTCGGAGCTCTTTACCTTAGGATCACGCACCAGCGGGCGAATTCCAGCCCAGGCAGCAAGGACGTCACTCCGCTCAATATTGATGTCTGGAGCCAAGTAATTACGGACTTCGGAAATGATCCAATTGATATCCTTCTCAGAAGGCTGGGGTTGAGGGGTGATCTCGGTCGGTTGGTCCGTTGTACCGGCAATGGTGTTCCCTTGCCAGGGAAGGAAGAAGATCACACGGCCGTCCGACGTAGATGGGTCAATGAGGCCCATATCCGAAGGGCTGTAATAGCCAGGTAAGATCACATGAACACCTGAGCTAGGAGCCACGATCTCCTTGATGCCGGGTTCGTCCATCTTTCTGATCGAGTCGGTGAAGGGGCCAGTTGCGTTAATGATACCCTTTGCTTTGATCGTGAACTCCTCCGTCTCTTGGCCATCTCTTCCGGGGATAAGATCCTTGACACGAGCGCCGTTCAACTTCCCGGAGGAGTCCTTTTCCAGGCCAGTGACTTGCATGTGATTGACAACAGTGGCACCGTATAACGCAGCTGTCATGGCCAGAGAAACATTCATTCGAGAGTCGTTGTGGGCACCATCTAGTGAATGCACCGTTAGCGAGGGGCCATCTATGTGTCGCGGGTGGGGTTGGGGGAAGAGACCGCATACCATAGTATACCATGGCTCCAAACAGGTTGTCCTTTCTTAACATAGGGAAGGCATCGATGGCCTTGCTCTTGGTGAGGAAGTAGGAGCTCTCGATACCTTCAGACCCAGCCAAGTAATCGTAGAACTTTGTTCCCGCCCAGAAATAAGGCGCCTGCCACCATTTCTGTAGCGGAACCATAATAGGAAGCCAGCTAGACAGATGAGGTGCTGTGTTCAAGAAATACTTTCGCTCCCGCAGAGCCTCTTTGACTAGCTTGTACCTACAATAGGGCGAGTGGCACTTAGTACATCATGGTCGTCACCCAGACAATACAGCGGAGGGGCGAGGGAAGAACTAACTGGTTGTAATCCAACTCCCAAACAGCCTTTTCCAAATATCGAACACCACCGTGAACGAGTTTGGTACTCTTGCTGCTCGTTCCGGCGCTGAAGTCGTCCCTCTCAACAATGGCAACCTTCAACCCCCGTGTGGCAGCATCAAGGGCAATACCCGATCCAGTGGCACCACCGCCAATGACGAGCAGATCATACTCTTCAGAGTTGCTTCCAGCAGAAGATCGCTTTAAGTCTTGGATCTGCTCGAGGCGGGATTTGATATTGGGAAAGCTTGGGGGCACGAGCTTGCCTTCATGGTAGCCCGGCGGCGGAACTGCGGGGGCTTCTGAACCAGGTATATTGCGGGGACGATAAGAGATGTAGAGAACTCCGGCTCCTGTGGCAGCCGCCAGCGATGTATAAAGCAGAGGTCGCAGAACCCTACGAGACTGGCGGGAGGCCATTGTACCCAGGAAGTCGAATTTTCGGAACAAAAGGAGCAGGCGAGCTAAAGCAAATGGTAATTAACGGTAATAGAGGAGGGATCCCTGTGAGAGATGCGTGCTGTATGTTCTATACTCAGAGGCGCTCTACACGCACGCGCACACATCGAAAATCAGCCGGACATTGACTCGAAATTGCGGTGTAACCGATACGCAACACGGTAGGCGGAGAATTGGGGCGGCATACCTTCCACGGAAGTGCTTGACTTGTGTCAATTGAGACGAGGGGGCAAAAGAAAAGAGAAAAAGAGGAACACGGAACACTTGCCCAAGAACAAGTATCAGGGCGAAGTGGTAATTGTAGAGTTGGAGGGAGGAAAGAAACGACTTAGAAAATCTGTATATACTGACGTACGTATGAAGAGAGAGTACGGCTCGGGAGGAAGAATGGGGGAGGGGGATGAGATTTCGTGAAGAATGAGGAGAGGAGAGTAAGAGAGTAACTAGAGAAGAGAGAGGAGAGAGGAGAGGTCGAGGTTAAGGATGCGAGGGATATAGGAATGCCGGATCAGCTGCCCAGTTCGAAAGGTTTCTTGTACCGGGGGGAAGGAATGGGAATGAATTAGTATTTACATACTCTACAGGCCTAATCCAGGGCCGGGTAACCTTCCACCTTTTGAAATTTGGGGGAGGCTGCGTCATGAGCTCAATCCGGGAAGGAGCTGGATTGGAAGGAGAAAATAATGGGGGCGGGTCGCTATGACGGTGTCGCAGCGTCAATCAGGAATGTCCCACCAATCAGCACCTCGGCAGCCCCGGGCGTGGATGGGCCTGATCACTGATTTGCCTGCCGCGCCCGAACTCCGGAACCGCATGTGACCAGAAAAGATTTTGTCTCTTCTGTAAATGTTCCCTTGGGGGAAAGGGATCGGTCCACTTGGGTCTTTTCAAGGCTTCCAGACTCGCGGTCTATCAGGTTTTACCCTATCTAGATAGTCCTACTATTGTCACATCCACCTTGTTCCTATTTCTTTCTTTCTCCTCCTGCACCCCCTAAGTTAACCTACTCCCCTTATTCCTTTCCTCTTCTCCATTGTCTGGATCTGTGGAGGGCGGAATAGTTACCAGTTTAATTTATTCATTTTAATTTATCTTCTAATTGCACAGAAACGTATACAATGGTTTTTCTCTCCAGAATTAAGTAAGAAAGGAATAGAAAAGAAAAGAAAAAAAGGAATTGGCTTGGGGTTAACGGAGCCCCTACCCAGGAACGAGGAATCAGTATTAGTAGTACGATCATTCGCAGTGCGGACTACCTATCTAGGTAAGTCAACTAGTGTCTCTAGCAATCACGCGACCTGTCCACGTTTTCATTGCGGATCTTCCGTCTATTCTAGGATACGTAGACCTGTCTAGAGTATTATGTCTGGCACATGGATCGTCCTGGTTGGATCTCAACTTTTACATGTGTATCATATTAATACTTGCGAGTTGTTCCTTCGTACTGCAAAACGGAAGTATGAGAGATGGTTAGGTTAAAACTTTGATGCATATAAGACCTGGTCTTGGTTACTGCTGCTCACTTGGCTTATTATCTATATACTAACTGGTTATATGATGCTTCCGACAATACCAAGACAGGAAAGGGGGAGAGTGTGAATGCTAATGATCATTCATTGTCTAAGTACGGCAGTCGGCAAATAAAGGGTTGAGTGTCATTGTTTGTCGGGTTCAGTTTCTCCACTTGCCCAGCCCAGCCCAGACCCTGAGCGGGTATGTGTAGACTGGATACATACTATACATATAATATCAACATACTTTGTTAGTTGGAAGTAATCACATTGAAGTCTTATGTAATCACATGTGCTTTGATGTGCTGTGGGCATAGACAGTGTCGAGGTGGTCTCACTCTCTCCAATTGCATGGCGTAATCCTAAACGTTTTGGTAGATGCCCTCGGGCAAGTAGGCACCTTGAGATAGATGTGGTTCCCTCGCTTTTCCATGGATGCCCAGCGGGACTTATTTCTTGGTTGGGGGTGTATATTTTACCTGCTATGCGAATGCGAGTCCCACCGCCCTACGTCAACCTCCAAGGACTTGACGGTGTCTTACCCGACTAGATCACCACTTCCAGTAAGTATATTGGCTTCACTTGTGTCTCGTACCGTGACCATGCTTCCCTTCGATCCAGCTTTCCATGTCGATCATGGTAGAATCCTCCGCTCCGCCTACCCCTCTTCCACTTCTCCTGATGGAGCGCGCAGTGACAATGCGACCGGTCAGTCATTTTCCCAGTCCAGGTGGGAAAACACCCACCTGATTTTCCCGACCGGCTTGGAGAGTGGGTCAAAAGCCGTCGCATTTGTCTGTGCATAAGTAGAAAGTAGATAGACTAGTAGACTATCTCACACTCATTGCATTTATTTCTGTCTCCGCAAATAACTCCCGCTGCCAAGGGTGCTCATGCAGTCTAGTCTTCAATAGACTCTGTCCCTTCTTCATCGGTCAGTACCAACTCCGTAGTTAAAGCCACCATCAATCACCCAGTAATCCAGTAGGTTTCTCCTTTCTTCCCAAGCACAGGACCGTTCCCATATGATTCAACGTATTCCTTCCCGATGCTTCTTCCTTTTTCTTTTTTTCTTTTTTTTTTTTTTGGCCTTCCTTCTTCCTTTTTTCCCCCCTCTGCACAATACAAGACAATGTTGCTTATCGGGAAATTTCAACTTTAAAAATGTGGCGAAGAAAGGGTGACTAACAATCATGAAGATAAAGCCAGACAGATGGAAAGAAGTAGAGACAAGGGCATACAGCGAGAGTAGAAAAGAAAAGAAAGGAAAGGGCAAGGGGAGAACTAAAAGAAAGGAGATACTAACTGGTCGCCGTAAGCCATCATACCCTCATACCTAGATTTCATCGAGAATGGGAGTGATAACTACAGTAGTATATTCAGTCAAAAAACTGCCCTTCCATGCTTTGAATTGAACTGCAAATGATTTGACGATAGAACAATGGCTTGGGAATGCCACCCCGCCCACCGCATCGTAGCGTCCAGCTGCGTGGCCATTTATCCTGCTTCCAATGGACAAGTGTAATTCCGGCCAACCTCCGATATCAAGGCTAAATAATTAGTCTACTACCGCAGTCGGTACAAGGAAAGCGAGATCTATGCTTAAAGTGCCATAGCAGCAACCGAGGTCATCGTCCAAAGGGATATAGAGTAAGTATATCGACAGTACGTATTGTACCTTGAGAAGCGGAAATTTTCCGGCTGCGGAAACTTCTCGGTTGCTTCCACTCTTCCCCTGCCTGAGTTACCAACTATGATCGACCCCCCAGGTTCCACAGTCCAGAAACCTGGGGTAAAATCAAGTTAGCTAGCAGTATCCCTCACATCCTGGCGACGGAAATGTTCCTTCCTGCGAGAGGGGAGGGATAGCAAATCCGGAACGTATCACATGTGTACCAGGGCATATGATGCTGCGTTAAATTCAGTCAACTTGCCCAGCGTCAGCTTAACGTCTGCCCCATCTGCTTAACGACTGCACAGCCAAGCAAGAAACACGGTTTGCCCATTATGGCCATCGCAGCAGTTCTTTCGTTCCTGCAGCAAAGCATTCTCGAGTCTCCGTTGCAGTCATTGGCTGCAACCGCCTTCATCGTCCCGGTTCTCTATATTATAATCAACGAATTCATTCGAGCCTCCGCTCGAGTATCTGGTCTTAAGGGCCCCCGTGGTCTTCCTCTGATCGGAAACCTTGCGCAGATCCGAAAAAATGCCGCTGAACAATATCGCATATGGTCTAGAACGCATGGACCCGTTTATCAGATTCAGCTGGGAAATATTCCAGTTGTTGTCGTGAATTCGGCGGCGGCGGCAAAAGTTCTTTTTGGACACAATGCACAAGCTCTGAGTTCAAGGCCGGAATTCTATACTTTCCACAAAGTAAGCCCCCGATAGCATGCTTCCCTAGGCTTTCTCTATTGTTATACCCATTTCTTTCCCGTGTCAATGGAATATCGCTCAAGATTGTGCATCAGATTGTATCGAACACAGCTGGCACAACAATCGGTACTTCTCCATACAGTGAGTCACTTAAGAGGCGCAGAAAAGGCGCTGCTTCAGCCCTCAATCGTCCTTCTGTGGAATCATATATTTCGCACCTAGATGTCGAGTCTAGATCTTTCGTGGATGAGCTCTACAGATATGGAAATGGTGGTGAAACACCAGTGGATCCTATGCCGATGATTCAACGTCTAAGCTTGAGCTTGTCCTTGACTCTCAATTGGGGGGTACGTGTGGCCTCCCAAGAAGAAGACCTATTTGCCGAGATTACCCACGTCGAGGAAGAGATCAGCAAGTTCAGAAGCACCACTGGCAACCTGCAGGACTATATTCCTCTTTTACGACTAAACCCTTTCAATAGCAACTCAAAAGTTGCCAAAGAAATGAGGGATCGACGTGATCGGTATCTCACCGCTCTAAACCGAGACTTGGATGATCGCATGAAGAAAGGCATTCATAAGCCCTGCATCCAGGCGAACGTTATCCTTGACAAAGAGGCAAAACTGAACTCCGAGGAACTCATATCAATCAGCTTGACCATGCTTTCTGGAGGTCTCGACACAGTCACGACCCTTGTGGCTTGGAGTATTGGCCTTCTCTCCCAGCGGCCTGATATTCAAGAGAAGGCCGCAAAGGCGATTCGAGATATGTATGGGCATGATCAGCCCTTGTGCGATCCCATGGATGATCAGAGATGCGCCTACGTGGCAGCCTTAGTTAGAGAATGCCTAAGGTACGCCTTGAGAAAGAGAACCCAAGCTCAGAGTTCCGCAACGCTAAGTGGTGATGTACAGATATTTCACAGTCCTTCGTCTCGCGCTTCCCCGGACTTCGATTAGAGATGTGGTGTACAACGGGACAGTAATCCCCAAGGGCACAGTGTTCTTCTTAAATTCCTGGGCCTGCAATATGGGTAAGTCGTTACTCGATGAAAGATCGTAATATCTTGCAATTATCAGCTAATGCCTCATCTCGTAGACCCCGAAGTCTGGAGCGACCCCGAGGAGTTCCGGCCGGAAAGATGGCTTGAGCAACCAGACGCACCTCTTTTCACGTATGGCATGGGCTATCGCATGTGCGCTGGCTCACTACTCGCGAACCGTGAACTGTATCTTGTCTTTATGCGCACACTAAATGGTTTCCGCATCGAGCCACTTGGTGAAACTGACTGGCATCCTGTTCGGGGCAATTCGGACCCTACAAGTCTCGTGGCAATCCCAAAAAAGTATAAGGTTCGATTTGTTCCAAGAGATGAAAAGGCACTCGCAAAAGCACTGGGCCGGTGATTGGCAATTTTGTCTTACGGTCTGTATTGAGGGGGTGACGCGAACAACTGATGTTGTCTACAACCTATATACTATACGGAAGCTGGGTATGGCGACTGGCTTGTGCCTTGGACATTAGCACACTACGCCGGGGAGAATTTCATTATTCCCGGCTCATCTCGGGAGATGCCAGGGACATCAGCTCGAATCAAATTACTATTAGCGACCACCTGCGTCCGGACACTTTCTTCAAACCCTCCTGGTTGTATAAAATTTAGGACTACAACTTAGCAATACTACTGTAGAGATATTGCAAATTATTCTTGATGTCATCGCCATCTGGAAGCGATGGCAGCTTGCAATGGTTACACTTAAAGGACATAAAACCAGGATTCTGCTCCGAGGGGCCGTAAATTGGCACCTTGAGGCCATTATCTTGCTTATTCTTCTTTCTATCCCACTTTCTTTCCATCACTATCTCCCTTATGTACCTTCCCCCTGGTCCGCCCCTCCCCTTGCCCATCATTGCTTACCCCGTCTCCCACTACCTTTCATGCCTGACTGTTTTCTGTGCTTCCTCATGCCAAGTGCCACACTGCAGGCTTACGTGGGTATGCATATTGTCCAAAACCGCTTGTTCGTATATTTGATGAGGGGCATATAGCTTGCGTGATAAAGGGACATACAATAAACGGACGGCCCTCTCGGGAATGGGAGGTGATACTGGATCGTGCTGCTGAAGTGCGAGTCGCCTGTAGGTTTCCTTCGCAATAGCTATTAATGCTGGGATACAAGGGTGCTCATGGAGGATAGATTTGGGAATAGAACTCTATGAGGACTATAATCCCATGGCGCTAAGATGCGAAACGTCTTTTCAGGTCGCGGACGTGGTCGAAGCTGCATGCATAATCCCGTAACTCATTCTTGAATTGACTTGCTACCACAACGGACTGTGATGAACTGCTCTTGACAGATGAGAGTGACGTCTGCGACGAAGATGGTGATAGCACCCTTTTGGGGTATTTGAAACCAGATGATCCAGCCGGCACCGTTTCCATTGTTGCGAAAGATCTGGTTACAGAGCACCCAGATTGACTGGGGACCCTAGTTGGTTGTGGGCACACGATCGCATGGGGTGCTGTCGCCTCCTTCGAGACGGTATCTATCTCAGCCAGCCTGCAGGCTTGGGAGCAATATGGTTCCCCCAAGGTCTGCCGGTCACAAGCAAGGCAGAAGTCAAGCGACCATTCAGTTGCCATATTGATTGTTTAAACAATCAGATTGAGAACCTGACTTTGTCCTCACAAAGAGGCAACAGAAGGGGCTGGCGTTGGGAAAGTGTGGAACTTTGAATGTATGGGCCAAGCAATACCAATGCAGAACTAGAGGCTGTTGTCTCGGTGATATGTTACCAGATTTGGGGCAATCGAATGCGCTTCGGATATTGATATCTCAGGGTTGCTAGTCGGCCTCTTGTCCGTGAACGGGAATGGTTACTGCTGCTGATAATGCAATTTTTTTTATTTGCATTGAGTGAGCTTCTGTTCGGGTGGGTGAAGAGCGTGAGGAGAGCTAGCAGATGCGAATGGATTTGGTGTGGAGGTTATCATATATGAAAGGTTCAAGGCCATCACACCATAGTAATCCACTTCGGTATCATTCTTGCGAAGCAAGAAGGTCACGCAAGGCCAGGGTGCACTAGCAAAGGGACCTAACCAAGGACGTGAGGGTAGATCAAAGTCGGTGGATCCAGATCTGTGTCAGATGACAACTGATGAGATATCTGAGGCGTATAAAAGGGTTATTGTTGTGATTGAATGGGAGGGGGTGCGGAATAGGTTCTTCATCCAGTGTGTAGCATGGTCTCCAGGTCACCCAGTCCGCACAGGGACAAGTGAGACATAAATGACGGCAGTTTATGGGGGTAATCCATATAAGTATATTTTATATATGGGTAGCTAAGTGCTCCAAAGACGCCAGTGACATGCACATAACCCCTTTAGGGGAAGGAGGGGGAAATATGGCCCAATCTCCAGGAGGCACGACGTTGTAGGGTTTACGGGTAGATTGTTAATACTAGTCTGTACCCGATAGAGCATACATTGAACTAGTGCGGAGCATTATTTAGATCTATCCCATACTTATGAAACTGCTTGGACTTGTCCAGGGGCATATGGGACTATGCCAGTGTATAGTAGTCTCGGAGGTGTGCACAACTATTGGTCTAGTAGGACTGGCTCCTGTTGTCACGACCGACAGTTTCTGGTGTATCGCAAGTACTAATATGTGCCACTCACCATTGTACCACGGTGAATAGTGAGCTGTTTGTATGTCATTGTAATAGAAATACTATTTAAACCTGACTACTGCTTGCTGTTCCTGGCACAAGATAAGTATCAGGTATTAATCGACACCCGAGGTACCCGATACGATACCTGCTTTTGCTTATTATGGGTTCTGTCTAAGGCAGGCCGAGTGGAGTAAAAAAGAGGGGGCGACCGGTGGCTAACCTGGCCTTTCGCCCCATCCCTTCCTTGTAGTAGTCTATTGCCTATCTCAGCCTAGTTGGCTTTTTCCTGCACGGCTGCTGGTGGCCCCAGCGCATTCTAATTCAAGCACCTGCTGTAGTCACTGGTCAATCCACACCCGACGGCCCATATGGTTGGACCATCGGATAATGCATTCCCCAAGGTCACTATGGTGGTGGTCATGCTCACAAGTCAGCAGCTCCTCTCATGGTTCCCCTTGCTGTACAGACACTAAATAGTATTGCTCCATGATGGTACTTACTAGTTATGTGGAGATATTCCTCGTATAGACACACCCATGTTATCTTAGTTTCTAGAATTTCACCAGCAATGAGCAGGCCTGCGTATGTTCAAGACATATAGTAGTTATACTGCCTTGCCTGTACGACAGTAGTCTACATGAGATATGTATGTCGACGTCTTGGTGTGACAGCAGGGTGTCAAATCCATACAATCGCAGAGACAACATTATTCTTGCCTTCCCCGCCCTATCCGCCCATTGCGTACAGAGGGGGTGTACATGATAGCAGGCATCGAATCTATTTGATTCATCCCAGAACCACACCGTAGTTCGCCCGCGTGAGAACGACTTGGATCTTCCTGGGACGCAACCTCTTAGTTATCCCCTTCCCCCGGCCCCGGCCAACACGTTATTTTCCTGATATATCGCGAACTTCCAGGGTGTCTCAGATGGCATGGCGATGCTAAGTATGAAGGGTTTGCGCTCATATCCCACGTTCTGGTCTATGAAAATTCATCCAGCAGCAAGTGTATTCATTGATGTTCTATTACTAATTTGTGATCTAGTATTAGCCAGGTATCGGAACATTGCCTGTTATATACGGGTTTAGGGATTTTGTGTATTGGTGGCCAAGGACTGTCCCTCAGAGCCAGGCGATACTATCGGGACATCAATAGCAACTTGTATCTAATTGGTCTTTAGTCTTAAGCGCCGACGAAGGTGTAGAAACACACGAATGTGGGTTTGGTGTGTATAGAGCCATGGATCAGGGTCTTCGACTAATATACGATCCAGTGTTGTATGTAGGCTTAGAGCGAATACAGGCATATTCGCATACTTATTGGTGATTTGGCTTTCTAAAATAAAGGAGCAAAAAGTTGGAGTTGCGGGGAATCGAACCCCGGACCTCTCCCATGCTAAGGGAATATTATACCACTAAACCACAACCCCTCTATAGTATACTCCTTCCATTGAAGGATTAAAGAGTCCTACAAATACTATACGTAACGACCGCACTGTATGTGGTGCGAACCACACTATGATATCGATACAAAATGCTTCTTAAGGCTTAGCCCAATCCCAGACACACGGACGGCCTCCATTGTATGTCATCTGCCTAGTCATGTAGGTGATAAACCGGTCTCCCAATGTCTCTGGAAAGTGGCCAGCTGAGCTTTCAAACAATTGATTGTTTGGAATCGGTATTTATATTTTTAGTTTCTTTTATGCCTTCACTCCACTTAACCCTGGTTCGTTGCAAGGTGTGTGTACGATAGAATCGGGCAACCCACTTTAACTACCCGTAGTAGTTCTACCTGGGTGAATTTCTACGTAGTTAATGCGCGTTCTGGGGCTTGGAATCCTGGTTTCCCACTAGATGACTAGGCAGTTGGCTTGTATGAAGTAATTGGGAAATCTGATCCTAAGACGCACTGGGAACGGGTTCTGACAATGTGGCCTAGAGTGTCATCGATTTGGTGATTGGTCGGCGAAACGGTACTGGCACATCTACAGTGCATATTATATATAATATCCATGTGTGTCACAAGTCAACGGTGACACGTTACCATATCATCCCACTTCAAGATGCAAAATAGGGGAGAAATATCGCAGTACCGAGTGAATACACCGAGCCACAAGACATGCCTAGACCGCAATGTCTTATTTCCGGATCACTCTAAGATGCAACCCACCAGAAGAGCAGACACAAGTACCAGGAGCACCCGATAGAATTATTGCCGTTCACACGCCGGAAAGCTGGTAAATCATACCTGGCAGTCGCAGACAGAGGTCTTGCCATCGTGTTTTGCGAGCCAGCAACAGAGCAATGACCGCCCGCAGCAAGGGTCCTAGGCACCAATGGGAGCTTTAAGAAAGTGTTTAGCTCCAATTCTCGTGACACCTGCATATCGAGCGTCATCCAGAGAGCTAAGCACCGACCAGAACTTAACCCGCAGTACAACCCCACAGTACCTGCTTTAGTCCGAACATCTCAGCACTTCATTGACACGCTTAGTATTAAACAGCAGCACTCAGTTCTAGATTATTTGCCATTGAAAGCATATATGGGGTTGTGGTTTAGTGGTATAATATTCCCTTAGCATGGGAGAGGTCCGGGGTTCGATTCCCCGCAACTCCATTTTTTGCCTCTGGCTTAGAAACGTGATCTTCATGTTCATGGTAAGTGCAGAGTACAATGGCCTAGTGCGACGGCAGCAGGAAATTGTCACAGAGTATCTTCCTTTCTCTTCCATTATATACCCACTCCGAGGTGGAGTGCTCTGAGTATGTAACTCGAAGGACACAAAAGATGTCAATACTATCCCTCCCAAAAGAGTCTCAAATTTTTGATGTTGCACCTATGCTCTCGCATACTTTCAATGCACAAATTCGTATCATGCCAGATCTATTGTTGCCCTAGTATCCCGTCGTTGAGTCCGTGTCCACAACATGAGTTGCAATCCGATGCGACTGCCAACGGAACACATGAGCATAACAGCGTATGCGGTAGGCACACGGAGAGGGAATATGAGTCGGACTCATTTTCTGCTGAGACTACATTATGGACTCCTCCCCCTTAATGCATGCGCGCTTCCCAGCAAACTACCGGGCGGGAAATCAAGTAGCCCACTGAAAGCCGTACCCTTCGATAGGCTAATCGACAAGGCCCCTTCAAATCTCGAGCAGCACGAAGAAAAGGCCGATAATTCCATCATGCGTAGTGTGTTGTAGGAAATACTATCTCTGCCATTAAAGCAAGTTTTTGGACCTAGTCCGTGCTTGCCTATCCATCAAAGAGAGAGAGAGAGAGAGAGCTCCTGCTCGTCACCCAGAAGAGGAAACCGTTCCACGGACAAACGCCCCTTTAGGCAAAATAACATACCCCAAGGCACTGTTCCCCTACGCGATATTCCGACAGCCCCAGGAGAGGCTCAATTTGCAATGAGAAAGCGGCCCCCTTCCCCCATCCTGCGTCAGAGCCCCCCTGCCACAAACAACTGTAACTTTCTGCATCCGATCTTATAGCTCCCAACAATGCCAGAGATGGCCAAGAAGATCCACGACGTCCAGCTCGTAGTTTGTAATTGTATGTAGGCGACGATCCAGCATTTTGTAATTGATATTCCAGTGGATCCCGTTACTCTACTCGACCGTGCAGATGACAGCTCACCTGCTAACCCAATGCGAGTTCGGCTCAGTCCCCAGGCACTTTGCTCCCTGCCAAAGGACGTCCGTGGACGCATAATATGCAGCCCTCAAACCAATAGTGCGTACTTAATGATTCAGAGGCCAGGCGGCTCTTCCTGCCTCAAAACGGGGATTCGCACTAGAGTAGCAGGCATAGGTGAGTCATTCGGTGGTTTTTGGGTAGTGGAGTCTGGCGTATGTTCCAGCGGTAAGGTCAAGTTCGCAGCTTTCGCTTTTGGTTGATCAGCATCGTTCGAGAGCAAAGCTTCATTAGAGAGCAAACTTACTCGAGGCCATGTTGATGGCCCGCAGCACATTATCCCAATTTGCAAGAACACAAGCGACAGCTAAAGCCAACATGAAAGACGATCAGGACATACTCCACCATGATAATTGAGTCGACAAACCTTCTGTGCCATCCTTGAGAGTTCCAAGCTTGCCCTGCAAAGCCTGCATCTGCAATGCCAGTGCTGCACTCATATCACGAAGTTGCCTCAAGTTATCCAATTCAGCCCTTTTTGCTGCAATGCGGGTTGCTAGGACAGAGGACTGTTGCTGTGAAATTGTTGTAGATTGCTGGTTTGGCTGACGATATGAGGATGTGGCTGAGGCTCCAGGAGGGAGCATGGAAGCAGTACGAGACATGTATGCCATGATGTAGAAGATATTTTGCTACTGGCCGCGGTTTGCTGGAGTCTGACCCGATTTGATGTTGGTAGGGCGGGGTATAAATGAATAGTGAAAGACGCAGGCTGCACAGACTGCACGCTAGCTGGTATGACTGCAGTTATAGCTTGTAGATCCAGTGAAGAGTTGTATGACACGGGAATGTCGGATTCTATAGGGAGCTGCTATTAGAGGGTGAATTGAAAGTTAATACTGTATGAACGAGTCATCACGACTGGCTTCTATCGATATTATGATGCACCGTTCGAGCGGTCGCAGACCGACCGCAATCACACTAGTCCCGATAAGGGCATTTGTCAACAACCATACCCGCGTTTGTCAACTATCACGGGGCCACATCCACCCACTCTTGTTTACTCACCGATTAAGTCGGATACGGGGGCGAGATCACTATCTACAATTACCGAATGAGTGTGGATGCTGGCTGAATTTATTGCTTCTGATACACTTACTCTCTGGGTGATTGACTGCCTACAGAATAGACTGTGGAAGGACCAACAGCCAGTCTTGCCTCCTTATGCCGGGTATGGCTCGCTTAAATGAATCGTCAGCTCCAACAGAGCATGTCGAGGCCCGTAAGCACCGCAACCCCTTCCCCCGTGGAATTCTACTGAAGCTGACTTTAGCGTCATACCAGTAAAACGACGGTTTGTGCGACAGAATCGTGAGATCGCTCGAGTAAACTCGATACAGTCCCTCCGCATTCGCAGCCTCGAATCCGAAGTCTCTCATCTCCTCTCAGAAAATGTCTCGCTTCGGGAGCAAGTAATAAGTCTTAGTCAGGAGGTAGAGAGATATGAGGCTGTCCGGCTACTCCAACATGGTGTTTACGACATCAAGACCAGACTAGACAGCAAGTTGGCGGAGCTGAACAACCTGGTGGCTGACCTAGGCGCACTTCCGCGCACATTCTACAGCAAATGTGCAGAGAATTCTCAAGATCCAAATCAACTCCGGGCACTGTCGGATTGGAAAGCGAAGACAACCAATGATGAGCTCAATCACGGGAAAGACGAAGAGGGAAGGCTTCCTGTCATCCTGGAAGACAAATATTACCCCAGAAAAACATTAGAGTAATAAACCGGGACCCCGAGACTTGATTCTATAATGCTTACCATCAACAGGCCACAAGAGCTACAAGATTTCCGATATAATACCGCCGATAATCTGCGATCTCCCACCCCGGAAGAGCCTGTAGCCACGCGACCAGACACAGCGGACGACAGCTCCTTTACGAATGATTCTTCCGATATCATAAATGCGCAGCAGGCACCGACTTACAATGAGCACATGTCGGACGAAGACGAGGCAGTTTTGCCCCCTACACTTGAGACCAGGAAAAGAAAAAGGCCCATTCCAGCATCAAAGCAAATGGAAAGCTCTCGCATGGATCACGGGGCACCATCGACACGGAACAACCCTGGGACTAACTTCAGCCCGGAAACCAAGCGCAAATTTTCGGTGCATCACGGAAAGATAATGGAATCGTTATCGAATCACCCCGACGTTCCACGGACAAGCATGCAGTCACCATCACCGGTGAGAAAGAACGAGCAGTCGCTGTCGTCAGAGGCTGATGATAGTCCATCGGGAGGGAAGGCCTCGCTTTTGACAGAACAGGCAATGAGTCACAGGTCGGCAAAACGGAAAGCATTGGAGCATAGTATGTGCCGTGTCGCGCCACTGCAATACTGAGGATTTAATCAGCTAATGAAGATGTAGGAAGCACAAATATGAACATGACCAGCCCAACGAAAGCACGTACTACAATGGTGCAAGAGAAGCCCCAGAAAGACACAATGCCCTCCATCGACGAAAAGGATGTTCAAGTGGAGTTGTCCCCAGCGCTACTCGAAAAAGGCACAGATCTCGAGCAGTCGAGGCAAGAGACGCCTCTACAGTATCGGATCCATCAATCCACAGATGAACAGAAGCATGACGAAAACACCATGGTTAAAACCCAGTCAAATACGCGGCGCTCCACGCTACCAGAAATTGAGAGCGCACCGAGGAATTTGCCTGACGTGTCTGGCCCAACGAGGCCTGCCAGGCGCCAGAGAGCCATTGTGAGCTATGCGGAGCCGAATCTACGAGACAAGATGCGGAGACCTACGAAGGAATTGATAGCAGCAGTTGGCGATCAGCCAAGACGAAGCTCTAGCTCCCTCAATGTACGGCTGGCTCGAACGAGGATGAGGACCTGCGTAAGAATGGGCGATCGAATGGGCGGAGACCGCGAAACTCGGACCCCTCTGGCAAAGAACCCAAATTACCGACGACAGAGGCAGCAGCAGCAGCAGCAGATTTATCTACCCAGCAAATGAACTTAGTGTCTCAGCGGAAACGGAAGGCTTCTCCGGCAAACAAGTGCAATATGGCACCTGAAGGCATTGCCGAGGGGTCTACAGAGGCATGCCCTCATGAATGTGTGGCTGGGAGAAGTAAAATTGACGAAATGATGGCTGCAGATGACAATTATCAGATGCAGCCGTCGCAGATGACTGGTAATGATGTTACGAGGAGCGTTCCCCCTATTGGGTGCAAGGCCAGACCTGCTACAGCTCGGAAGTCTAGACGGCATTCTTCACAGCCCGAATCATCCAGAAAAGGTGAATTCCAACCAGCAAGCAACGATTATATGAGCATAGAAAGCCAAGATAACTCTCCATCAGAGGCTCGTGCAGGGAATTCCTACTCCACAAGATCCCTTGAAGACTTCGCCAAGCTGAGCTCTCCTACACAGCAATCAAAAGCGAGTACTAGAGCAGACTTGTCTACTTCGAGGGTGGCTGATTCGGGACGAACTAAGCGCGGGCAACGTGCCGCAGCCGCTATAGCTAGAAGAAAAAGCATGATGTTGTGAAATATACTTCATAGTTGTTGATAAGCAGAGTCTACAATCGGTCTCCCTCCCTCCAATAAAATCACAGCATTAGCAGTGCTTTCTTACTTTGATTTGTCCCTTCATTCATTCACATCTTCTTTTCGCTTTTAGGTTCGGTTCAAGTTCCAGCGAGTCTTCTGTAATAAGTCTGATGTCCTGCACTATCTTCTTTAACCACCCGGTAATATTCACGTGTCATATAGATAACACAGCAACACCGTCCAAAAATTTCATCTTAAATGGAGTGCTATGAGACATCGGTGCGACCCAAGGACGCTCAGGGGACAAGGCAAGAAAAGATTGACCCTGATAGTCAGTATGGGTTTCCATTCGAAGGGTACTGAGGATGCGGATTTGACGGGCATGTCACTTGATGTCGTTATCGCATTGTGTAATACAGAATAGTCCCCTCATAGCATATAACAAACACTGTTGCGGAAGACCCTAACTGCTGGATACTGAAGATGGGTCACAGCGTTAGTCTGCCAAAGATCTCGAATATGTTAACGACCCTTTGTGGTCTTAGGCATTTTCTCATAGGCATTTGGGCTTGGTTTTCGTTTCGTTTTCCTCGCACGGTGACTTGATCGGCAGGTTCTTTCTTCACTGTTCGAGGATAGCCTCTGACCAGAAGAGGCATAGTTTTCTCCCTGCGCTGTAGGCGGGCGGTGTCCTGTCCTTCTATGGCAGGCCGCTTCGTCGTCGCTATCTGTGTCCGAATTAGAAGTACTGGAGTCCGAGGATTCGGATTCGGAGCTACTATCGCCAATAGGTCGGCTTTTGTGGTAGATGCAGCATACTGTGATACGTAAGCACAGTTTCGCAGAACCTATTAGCTAGGGAAGGATTACCTTTGGAACTCTTCTTCCCCATTCCTTCGTTATCTATGACATCTTCACTCCAGCGTATACGTCGAGAATTGCCCTCATTCAATTCGAGCCGATTAGCCGCAGGCTCGTCTGCTCCTCTTAACCTCAGCGTTGCTGGAACTGGAACAGCTGACGAAGTCTCGGTATGCTCCTCTGTCAGTTCCAGTTGAGAACTACTTGCTGGCTCAGACGGTATTTGACGAGTTCGAGACATGGAAATAAACTTCAATATTGACACAGCTCCGGAAACAGAGAGGCGTACTGATGCTGTTATGGGAATGAAAGTTAATATCGCGGGGGCTAAAAAGTCTCTTGGATCATTAGTGCGTTCAGATATATGAGTTTGCTTCTGACGAAGTATCCCTGCAAGAGGCCGGCCTCACACCGCCTTTTCGCTTCTGTACTGATAGAAGTCGGTGTTTACTTGTACAACGATTATTCATTGGTGTAGAATAATGATTGCTTGCTCCGGATAGTACTAGACTAGTTGATAAGTAGAAACACATCTTTGTAGTTCAGTGGCTACCTCCGACATGATATATCTACGTTCAGTACTTCTTTCTCCCTTTTAAAATTCCTTCGACCTTTGTCGCTGCAGTGCCTGGCTATTCTGAACATAAATTACAGGTCTTTTTTTTTTTCTTTCTCTTTTTATTTTTTCCATTTCTTCATTCGCGGGCAAGCTTCGAGATTTGTTGTCACTGCAAACTGTTTGTTAAGGGAAGGCACGAAGAAAGGACTGGAAGGAATACCGCGCTGCGTTCAGGAAGCACCAAGACTGATTTTACGTGAGGATTATATGGTGGAAGAAATCCAAAAGGTACTGTAAATCTCTTGTTCGTTACATGGCAATCGGTTTCAAACTTAAAGTCCATAACATGACCAGCCATCAAACCAGTCACTTGCCGAAAAAGACCTGGACTCACTGCCATGCGCTGTGGTATCGGCAGTTGATAGCGCAACTTCAGAACGTAATTCCTTGTCTAGTCATAGCTCATCCTCTTGATCCATTTCGGATGGCTTCAAAAGACCTCCTACCCTCATTGCTCGGTCTCGTTCAGCGGCTTTAGCATCCCGCAAGGCTTGCTCCCTTTCTTCCGCATATAAGTCTGCATTATCACCGGAGAATTCCTTCAGTGATATCAAGAAATCACGCAGATGCGTCTTGAACTTGTTAAAGTCGTCATTGAAAGCAAACAAGCCAACAACAAATTGTTTGATTTGGATTCTGGAAAACATTAGCCTGTCATTCAGGTTTTCTTCTTCGATCCAAGGGCTCCTCATGATCGGGTAGAACGTACTCCTGGAGGTTCTTGAAAGCATTTTGTAGGAGATTCGCAACATATTCTTGCAAGAAATCTTTGTTGGATGTCCCTAAGGGTGCCTGCTCAGGAGAATAGATCGGGTTTTGCACTTTGCCAGACTCAATGAAGTAAAACATGCGCGACAATAGCATGGCCTGTGATTTAAACCCTGTTGCCATAGATATTAGCAAATTTCTGTCTACAAAAGTTAGACTACATACCGGCTTTGTGATCACTGTCCGTGAGGACAAAGAATACATCCTGCAAGATAGGAATGTAGAACTGTTGGAAGAAGATATTTGAGGTCTGAGCATCAGTGTCGGCCATGTTATTCATGAGCTCGAGGCACATTGTGAGACCTGTATTTTCGACTTCACGATTGTCGTGTTTGCTAGCCCACATGCAAGAATCGATGACAAACTTGAATTGCGTAGCATCAAGCTTGAGCAATGCCGGGAAACAGTACAAGTTAATCGCTTGAATCAACTTGAAGAACTGGACACGGTGCTCTGGATAGTCATGGAAGTCTTTGTTGATCATTCCCAGTGTGCATTCAAAGACGCTTTCCATTATCAAGGGGACTTTGTCTTCCATCAAGTTCTGGGTAGCAGCACATGTCAGCTTCGTATTCATCCTGCAAGGCTTCAATGTCAATTAGTGGGGCTTGGCGTACATGTAACTTGTGGATTATCGTTGTCATGACGTTCAAGACCTCCGCCTCGCGCGCATCAGGAACGTTGCGGTTATAGTCGACGAGAACGGCCTCCAGGAGTGGAGGAACCATATTTGCATTTACCATCTCCAAATCGTCGGCTTTCTGCACGTAGGTGTCGATAAGTTTGAGTATTTCCTTCTTGATCGTCCTTAGACCCCGGACTTTCGGGGTCTTCGTTGCAATGTTGCCTATTTAATGTCAGAAAGCTCTACGAACTAGCATGCTCGGTGCATAAGGGGCGAAGTGAAACGGAAAATGACGAGAGGTAAGAGTAAAGCGGGGCAGAAGAAGACATGTCAAAAGAGCACATCCTTACCATCATGCGCAACAGCGTCACTTATAAGCTGGCTGGAGGCACGGAACATGTTCAGCATGTCATGATAAATCCGTCCAAGCTGGGAATAAAAGTAAGTGCCCACGGAGGAACATGCTGCGACGTTCGTCTTCATAATATTTCCGATGATTTTTATCGTCTCGCCATCTTGAAGTATAGCGGGGTTTTGGTTTGCCTGTACTATGATGGCATCCCAAGCCGAGTTAGGCAGGGACATCAGATTCTCAATCAGTCGATCCTGTAGGCCTTTTTGGCCTTGTGCCGAGATCATGTAGCCACAGGCTTCGTAAAAAGTGTGGACCTGCTGGGGCGAAAGATCACAGGTGATTTTCCTCATATTGCGAACAATTTCCTCAATGAATGGTTCGTTCTCCCCCGGCTGGAGAGCAACAAAATGCCGCCTGCATTTGTTCGCGATTTTGATAAATGTATCGCAAGCCATATCCTGAACACCTGGTTTGGGTTAGTTAATGACTTTCCGTCTGCAGGGCAGCAACTCACCTTCATGAGTCTCATGCATGAACTCGAAGAGCTTGTTCACCACAGTCTTCAAGAATTTCCAGTGGGCTTTCAGGAATCTTGGATACTGTCCGACAATGTACATGATATTACTGGCCACGACAGCTTTGTTGTCCTTTCCACGCTTCATTTCGGTAAGACCAAGGAGGTCTTTGATGACATTGACCAGGAATCGCTTTTCGGTCTCTTCGTTCATGGCTCCGGAAATCGAACCAATGGCCCAGCAGAGAGTGTTACAGTTGGCCCAGGACCATTCAGACCCATCAACCTGCTTGGCTAACTTTTCAATCATGATATTCTCTGTGTCGACGACATCCAGATGCGTCAGATAGACAAGACATTCGCGTATCGTCTTGTAAAGCTGAATGGTGTCACTCTCCTTGACAAATTCGCGAACAATTTCGCCTTCGTCATTTTCAACAATTAAAACTTCCTCAGGACGCACCATCTTCTCAATCATGACCGTGCGAAGGCTTGATAAAACTTCCTCGTACTTGTGTTTCCGAAGAGGGTAGTTGGCCAACGTGCTGGGGTGCGGTGCACCTCCGTTCGACAGGCCGCTAACACCCATACTCACCAAAGGATTGATATCTGTGATTGGGAGCTGCTGCATCTCTTCGTACAGTTCTTGCACTAGCCTCGTCCAATATTCCAGGCAGATCTTGAAGACTTCCCTGTCGTCGATCTGACTGATACGAATGAGGTAGAAATGGGCGTGGGTGAGGTAGTCACGGTTGGGCAATTTTTCGATGAGCTGGATAAGTTAGCATGGACCTGATTGCTATGCCATGAAGACTCACATTCAGATGAGCGCTAAAAAAGCTAGAGAGAAACAGTGCCAGATTGAGAACGAACTCTTGGTCCCTCGAGTTGCTCTTAGCATAGGTCTGTTTCAAATCCATGGACAAGGGGATGATTCTTGAAACCGCAGTGAGCGTTTCCGTAAACATATGGACAAGCCTTTCATCGTAATTGTACGGGTTGCCAATTTGTAACCCGCCGATTTCAGTAAGGCACTTGAGTGTGACATTCCTGAACTCAGGAACATCCAGAAACCGCGTCAGCAGGGTGTTTATGATGGGAGTTTCGAAGATATATCCTAAAGGGATCCAGTTCAAGAAACGAAGCAGAGTCTCTAGTGTAGCTTTGATAAGACTTGGTTGGTTCGCCGTGTTCAAGACCTCTGAGCATAGCTGGAAAATGGACGAGAACTCCTGCGTCATTGAGGTCTTCAAATTTCTCGCTTTGACCGAAGTCATTTGATCCTGGGAAAAGTCAAACACTTCTTCGGATAGTAGACGAAGAATTGCCATGTTATTTTCGCAGATGGACAGGCTGGTATGACAAGACGAGATGATTTCGTTGATAAAAGTTGGCCAGTTATGTGGCCACTCCTGTTTCAGGATGGAAACAAGAACTAGGTTGAGCTTATTCAGGAAGGCTCGTTCACTCCTTAACTTGTCCTCCGATTTCGAGTTTTCGATGATGAAGTTGACAATGAAATTCCGAATACCTGAGGATGTTAGAGAGGTTTGACAATCGAGGCTAGCTTAAAGGAATCACCTAGGCATTGCTCCCTGGGTAAGACCTTCCATCGCGTCATAATAACATCGTCAAGGACCTGGAGAGCAAGATCTGATTCTATCAGCGCACGGCCGTCTGCAGCATAGAGTGAGGCATCGTCTCGCACATTTAGTCTGTGGGTATGTTGATTCTTGTAGAATATTTCCCACAATCAACCAAGCATCCGGATTTTGCTTGAACTGGCCACCGGAAACAAGTTAGAGCTGGATGAATGGTATGTACTATGCAATTCGGTCACTCACCTCCGTAAGGGTCTGCTGAGCTTGCTTTTGCTGTGAGCCGCATAACAGGTCAGTTCACATCTCGATTACGAGGACAGGCAGTGAAAGACATAAGCGCCCAGATCCTTGCGACATACCAGATCTCCCTTGCCCTCATAGAAGGCCCGGACAGTGTTGTCCAACTCTTGTATGGAAACAGACATTCCGCTCCTGAGGTTGACAGTACTGTACGCTGCGCTCCTCGGCCTTCAATAGACGATTCAAGCAGGCGAGATCTAGATGAAGACTCAATAGGGTCTAGAGAAGGCCGTAGATACGAGATGGCGTAACAGAAGAATAGGTTGGCAGAATATATGGCGGGGTAAGAGGCTTCCTTGGAGGGGTTCGTCGGAGGTAGGGTGAGCTTGGAGCAAACTCCTGCCTGAAGATGCAGCAGCCTTGGAGAAGCAGCTGGTAAAGTGGGGTACGGTGGCTGTAATTTAGGATGAGAGTTCTGGCTTTGGGATCTGGATATTTCTGGAAAAAAACAATGCGTACTACGGAGTACTGGCGGTGAGAACAGCGCGTCTCTCGGATTGTTGGCGCTATTCTATCGGACCGGTGCGATGTATCTCCATTTAACCTTAGTCATCAATTAGAAGCTCTGACCTATAACTAGTTAGTCAACTAATTAGTATGTAATGAATTTACCGGGTTCGCAGTAGTAGCTATAGAACTACATAGACTACGGAGTACCTGTTGTTGTTATTACTGGTAAAATGATCATTCAGGTTCACACGATGCAAAATACTTGTGAAGTGGCAATAGCGAAGTAGAAATTCTTGCATAGTATGTCAACCACGAAACGCCTTCAGGCCTTCTGCAGATTCGATTAGGTAACTTGAGCTTGCTTATAATAACCGGATCTTTCTCTGAATTTGCGGTTCTACTCATCGAGTCCGAATCTGACATTTGGGGCCGTGCAAGGCACATCTTAGGTATCTCGATATCATTTCGCTTCGGTGTCCGTTCAACTGTTTGGCCAGTACTATATAACCCGTGGCTACATGTATGGTGAACAGAAAACCAAATTTCTTCGAATGTACTCCGTAGCATCTGGTCCTTGTGCACTTAATAATGCTGCTTATTCATTGAGACAAAATTCCCACTTCCACAATACCATTCCTCCAGCATAAGCTAGCATCAATCAATATGGAAATCATTTCGAAGATATAGCTTTCTCTCCATATTGAGATTTAAGTGGATAAAGAAAGATACTATGTAGTTTGTGCTAGGATACCAGCGCCGCCCGAGCAATCCTTCGGTCACTTGGTAGTAGACTACGAGACTATTACTAGATACAGCCAGAAGCTGGGAAATTTTGTCCGCCAACCCTCTGTTACTCTTGGCAAACTTAAAACGGACGGGGTCTACAGGTACTCGAAATAGTCAGGGAACTGCTGTTCAACTACGTACAAAAGACGGCTTGAATATGCCATTTGTGCTGTTCAATTCGAAGGTGAATGATGTGCGTAGCTGATATATCACCACGATATCGTGTACATCACCTTCTATTGACTTTACTGACTTCATTATAATGAAAGAAAAGAAAAGAGATGGTAAAAAGCTCCTAGTAGTACGGAGTATGTTTACTGACCAGCTTTCACAGAGGACTAAATTATTTACTGGTAAATCCAAGTGTGAGTGATATTGCCATTTGAATTTTCCGGACGATATTACAGACAACGGGGGGAAGGGGGATTGGGGGGTCCGCGGTAGGTAAGGTGCTGTGCCGTACTAACCGCAACCGCGTCCCTCCTGCGCCAATGGCGAATAATTGGCGGGAAAAGGCAGCGCTGGTAAGCGACCGAGCTATTGTGTAAGCGTGTTCCACACCCACCATTTCAGGCTGTCAACGCGCAGGTCGCTTCGACCCACCAGGAACCTCTTCCGCCGCCGCCGTGCCGCGCTTCCCTCGCGGGTAGAGCAGACGGCAGTGCAAAAGCCACCGAACCAAGGCGAGTCGATTCCCCCTCCCAAAAGTGGCGTGTCGCCTGAGCGCGCCATCGCTCCAACTCATGCGTCTTTTAACTTCACGTCCAACCAACCAGAAGCTGCTTGCCGGGGTTGTGGTAGCCAACCAGTTGCTTCGCGCCGCTCATGGCCGATCGCGCGCCAACTTCAATCCTGTCGAGTGCTCAGCAGCCAGCTGGCAGCCGCATCCTTCTGCCAGGATGTACGACACCCAATGAATGACTCCAACTCTACGGTGCATCCATCCCACTAAGGTACTGCTAGTACATCGACTCCCCTGGTCGTTTACCTCTTCATTTACTATTTTTCTTCCCGCCCCCCTCCTTACGGCTGCTCGTCTTTCCTTTTTCTTTCCTGGGTTTGCAACTAGGTACTATTGGTTCCTTAGTGAAATGCCTCGTTTCTTGATTCCCACCTGCAGGCGGCAAAAAAATTTCGTTCTAGGAGTCCGTTTCGACATACTACTCGCTGACCTATAATTGTTATCGTTTGCCTATCCATCTTCTCTCCACTGCTAGTACGACCACGGCCACTACACTTTCCCCTCCTTCTTTCCTTTGACGCCTTTCCCCTCTTTTCTATTTAGTAACCGCCCTATCTCGAATCCATGGCTTTGAATTGATGAGAGACGGCCAGACATTCCCCATTCCAATCTACCCATCTTAATCTAGCATTTCAACTCGCTTCACGTAACCTGCGCTTCATAGTTGCGATTCTCCCCTCTGTTATTGTTTGTTCTAGTTCAAAGCGAGGAACGCGCTTTCTATTTTCCTCTCTTCTTTGCCCCCTCCTCTTCGCGAATCTTCCCTGCAATGTCTAAAATATTCTCGCTCCTACTTCTGCGCTGAATAATTGTTTCCTTGCCTCTACCGCCGGGGGTTCCCTCAGCCCAACAACAACTCAAGATCAGCCCTTTAGTGGCACGACACTAAGGGTAGTCATACAAGACACCTAGTCATTTACTAGGAAGCACCCTGATATCGAAATACTACGATAACCTTCTCTATCTCACTTTTCAGCTTAGTCGACTTGCACGATATATGTTTTCGCCCTAATCTCCTGCACCGCTTCTTGAGCTTGCATCCCTTATGGACTGTGTTTCATGTGCTTGTTTGGAGACCACAAATGATTCAATTCAGCGCACATAACTCACAAGATAATATTGGGCAATCTGCAGATCCGGACAGGCACGTCTAGCGATTCCATCGTCCATTAGCCAGTAAGTGGCGGTAATCGTCATCGGGTACAAGAAGCGTTATACTAGAAGCAAATGTCGGATAATTCAACTTTCATCCGCGCTGATCTATAAAAATCTATTACACCGAGCTGTTCATTTACCATGGCAACAGTGGCTTCTACATCGGTAATGAATGATCAAGACACCGAAAAAGTGCCCAGGGCAGACCATAGCCCTTCTCGATTTACTGCAGTGAATGGGAAAGAGCCCTCGGTGACTGCGGGAGCCGTGCCCACACCGGCTGTTACCGATTGCGCCGCTGAGTCTCCTGATGTCTTCGTACGAAATGGTTTGGATGCGCAGTCTCGCCTCGACGAACAAATACAGGGCAACGTGAACCCCGAGAGCGGCAACAGTGCTAATGAACAAGAGGAGCCCCATTCTCAGCGGTCACCTTCCCTGAGTGGCTCGTCGGGTCCCAGCAAAAGCAAACGGAAAAGATCGGAATCTGGGGAACAAGAAGAAAGCCATGGTATGCTTCGCAGGGCTCCGAAGAGCCCGGTTCTGCGTTCAGATGATACGAGCCAACCCCTCACTCAGACATCCACGTCTAATGACACCGGCATGTCCCATGGGGAAAGCGATATCAAGCACCCATCCCCTTCTACTCAGGCTCGATTGGAGGAAAATGGGAGTGATAACCGAACGCCACCGGCGAATACAGCATGGCACGATTATGATTCCCAGCTGGTACATCAAGCCCAGCGTGCACAACAGTTTGACGCATCCGATGCTCAATTGGCTGAGGCACTCCAGCGCGAGGCCAATGGCCATGATTCGTCTCAAAAGAATTGGGGTACAAGCGGTCGTCCAACGGAAGGGCCAGCACAGAGTGAGCAACCATCCTCACTATCTGTACTTCCTCAGGAGCGGCCACAGGCAGCCGTCCAAGTTGCACCCAAGAGAAAACGCGTGTTTAGTAACCGAACCAAAACAGGTTGCATGACTTGCCGGAGGAGGAAAAAGAAGTGCGATGAACAACATCCTGCCTGTAAGTTTGGTGATATGGCTTCCGTAGCTATGTTGTGGTATGGTTACGATCTAACTTCATCGATGTTGTAGGCAACAACTGTATCAGAGGGGGATTTCTGTGTGAGGGCTATTCATCTCGAAGCACCTGGCAAAAGCCGTCAAATTCGAAGACGCCAGTTCCACTACAATCAAAGGAAGGCTATCTGGATATCAATTCTCAGTATGTCCACGATATAAGTCAGCATGACCGGCAACAAACCATGCCGGAACAACTTGATCCAGGGAAAATCAGGCCTATTGTTGTAGACGAAAGCGACCGGGCAACTGCCTCGTTCAATACAAGTCCCACAGGAGCTAGTTCCGGTCGTGGTCCATGGACGAAACGCAGCTGGGGAAGCACAAACCACCCTTCCTATATCTCCGATCATGTGGCAAAGCCTGATTACCGCGAGGTCCCCTCGATTCATGAATTATCCCGCGAAGGTCATGCTAAGTCCGACTTCCCAATTGTTCCTCCTATCAGAGAGCTTTCTCATGGAGGTCATACTAAACCCGGGACAGTCCCGCTCTTCCAAGGAGGGATGGACCAACGGTCAACACATTCCGGAAACGTGGACACTAATAGTCCCCAGGCTCAGGCGCGGATGGCGCTTAGCATCGAGCACCAGTTATCGACTCGTACGTTATCGACCGAGGATACAGAAAAAGATAAGATGATACGTGGTGACCTCTACCGGCCTTATGATGTTCACCTCGTGGAAGAGAGGGATCGCTGCAAGGCCGCCCTATGGCGGTTTAATAATGCCTGCAATCCTATTTCGGGGTTAAGCACTAAGGAGCAAAGTCGGCTACTGAAAGAAGTGCTTGTTCCTCCAGGCTCAGTTATCAACTCACCCCCTGGTTTGGCTTCATCTCGTTCGACAGGGTCGTTAGGGCAAGGTGCTATTGTTGAGGCACCTTTCTACTGTCATTATGGATACAACGTGCATATCGGTGAAGATGTCATGGTCTCAGAAAACTGCTTGTTTGTTGATGACTGTCCTGTAACCATTGGTGCCCATACCTGGATAGGTCCCCGGGTTACCATACTTACATCAATGGCCCATGCTAATATGCAAGAACGCAAAGGCTCACAAAGCCGATATCAAGGGCGCCCTGTTACAATTGAGGAAGATTGCTACGTTGGGGCTGGCTGTACAATCTATCCTGGTGTTCGACTACGACGCGGGGCGTATGTCGCTCCTGGAGAGGTAGTAAAGTCAGACATTGTAGCCTATGGTTTCCAGGGACTAAAGCCAAGTTATATGTGATTCACGTGCATGTCTGTTGGTACGTACCAGCTGATTATTTTTTTTCTTTTTTTGGCTTTCAAGATACCAACCCTTCTCTACTTGTCTATCTCATCAACCGTCAGCTTTGCTTGTAATTATACCGATTTATTTTCAGCACCCATTTCGAGGGATCTGGCTGGCTCAGAGCACAAGGTGTGAAGCTTATATTTGACATGACTTTTAGTTTTTCCATCAACCCCTATTAGTATTCTTTGATAACAGAAGTGGTCCGCAGGCATAAGGGGTGAAGTGATGCCTGTCCCTTTTCTACTATCAGAGCAGCTAGATACCTAAATATCTTTACAGGAGCATTGCATTTAGGCGACAGACTGTAGGATTTGGGCGGACATGAATCATCAAGTTGTTTAAATTGTGTATCGGAATTTGGATTCCAATCGTCCAGCAGGAGATGAGGATATATAATTGGATTAACAGGGACAAGCGGGAAAAGAAAAAGGAAACCAGTCTGGCTATGTATAGTATGAAGGCGAAAGAAGCAGCAATAAAATTCTTTTTGATCGATCGACAGGCTCGATCGAATGGATGAGCCTTTACAGAAAAACAGACAAAAAGAGAACGGGGAATAAACAGCAAAGAGGACAGACACTCGTTACAATCATGATTAGTGTTGGCCTTTCACAGCAGCTTAAGAAAGCCAATCCAGAAAGTCGGGCACAAAGTAGCTCACAATAATACCAGCTCCTGCCCGTAGTATACCCTCTGTGCTCTCGAAAGCCATTGATTTCAAATCGAAAACGCCAGCCTTAGCCCCTGCATGTATCATGGCATACTCTCCGCTAACTTGGTAAGCGGCAACTGGCATGTCTTTGGCGAGCTCTTTGGCGTCCCGTATGATATCCAAATAGCTACTAGCGGGCTTCACCATTATGATGTCTGCGCCCTCACCAATATCGCGCTGTATCGCTCGCCGAGCAAGCCCCCGGCCACCTGGGGGTAATTGGTAACACCTGCGGTCTCCGAAGGATGGGCAAGAGCCTGCGGCATCTCGGAAGGGACCATATAGACATCCACTGAATTTTGCACTGTAGGACATTAGGAGGACACGATGAGCTATGCCAGCTTCAATAAGCTTCAGCTTTATGGCGCGGACTCTGCCGTCATTCATATCTGACGGAGCCACGCAGTGAGCACCGGCAGCAGCATAGGCGAGGGCTACATCTGAGATTCTATCAACGGACTGTGCGTTATCGAGCGTCCCATCCTCACGTAGTATCCCGCAATGACCATGTGAGGTGTATTCACAAAGACAAACATCCGTCACGATATAAAGTTGAGGAAAGCGCGAACGAAGAAGGCGGATGGCCTGAACTACTGGACCGGTCGGGTCATCTGCAGCGGTTCCCAGCGCATCCTTTGCAGATGGATGCAAAGGGACACCGAACAGAATCACGGAACGCAGGCCTTTCTGTACTAATGGTCTTAAGAAGGGGACCAACCGATTCAGTCCTCGGCGATACTGATTTGGAAGGGATGGAATAGGCGTCTCCTCATCAGGGTTATCGGTAATGAAAAGGGGATATATGAGCATCTCCTGCACACAATTAGACCATGCTAGTACAGGACTATGTCGTAGTACGAACCTTGGTCAACTGCTTCTCGGCTTGCCATGATCTACTCAGTGGATGACTATAGCCAGAATGAAGCTGGCTAGAGATATCACCAGATATGCTAACGCTGGTCGCAGCCGTGCTGGTATATGATCGAGCGGTAGCTTGAGACCGTGCATGGGATATTTGAGAACTTCGGTCATCCTGAGCGTCTCTGAACGCAAGGTCAGAAACAAGGTTTGAAAACGACATGATGAGATGAAGCTAAATTCAATAAAATGGTTGAACTCTGTTTTCTGCTTCAAGCGTTGAGCAATTAGATGTTGCTTCGATCAAGTCTGGCACCAGTGTATACAGTAAAGGTGTTTAAATACTGATTTTGATGGTTATGGCCCTGTACGTGGCAGGGTTGCAATTGAGCGTGCAGAACTAACTAAAAGTGGTCCCCCAACGATCTCCCTTGGGGCGGCGGCAACTTACCTAGAGCGTCTGATTACTAAAGGCAGGTTGAAAAGTGGCGTCGCTGTGTTATGTGTACACTGGTCATCCGACCTTTAACAATAGATCGTGTAACCCCTACCTTTTATATATAACTGCCGGGGCCATTAATGAATAAGATAAACTTGAATATTATCTATAGACTTATTTTGTCTAATCTGACTCTTTGTTTTATTTTACCAACCACTTCTGAAGCAATTACTAATCACTTCTAGAGTAATTACTAAATACTTCAGAAATAATTATGAACCATTTCAAAGCAAATATTGATTATTATTTGGCTAGTTTTAAAGTTACGGCGTCCGCTTATTCCTTTCTAATTATTCAGATAAAGAGAATGATATTCGGTCTAAATTCATCTTTAATTTACTAAGAAGTAATAAAGAACTATTAGAGTGGTTAACGGCCAGGGTAGGATAGGTTAATAAGAAAATTTATACCTTCCATCAGATTAACAGTTAGATATAAGATTATCTTATACCTAACCGCAGAACAGCTAAAAATAGAATAATAATTACCTCAACTGTTCTTGGTAGCAAGATTTACCTGCTATACTTTTTTAGATCTTAACACGGGTAAAATATATTCGAATTAATCTTTATTAATAACTATCGCAAGACTAATCTAATTATATAACATGTTTTTCTTCTCTGTATAATAATTTATATATAAAAATACATAATCTATATTTTATATTAAAAATGGCTTTGTTATATAGACCGCGAGTTTTTATAATAATAATTCTGATTTATATATTATATGTTTTATATATCAGGCTTATTACTTTTCTTTATTCTTTTAAAATGTATGGATAATTTATTAAAATAATAATAATAATAATAATAATGATAATCTGTTACTTTTGTATTTTATATATTATATATATTTATATTATTATTTATATCTTTATTTCCAGACCTATAATTCTTTCGATACTACTATTATTATAATTATTATAAGATTTTTTTT